TATGCTTGAGTTCTTTTTTTTTTTGCGGTATGTGGGCCTCTCACTGTTGTGGCCTCTCCCATTGTGGAGCACAGGCTCCGGACGAGCAGGCTCAGCGGCCATGGCTCACGGGCCCAGCCGCTCCACGGCATGTGGGATCTTCCCAGACCGGGGCACGAACCCGTATCCCCTGCATCGGCAGGCGGACTCTCAACCACTGCGCCACCAGGGAAGCCCTATGCTTGAGTTCTTGATAGTCTGACAGACTGTGGTCAGTGTGGTGGTGTGGCGGACTGTCCTGGGACCTCACCGCCTCCTGTTGGAATGTGAAACTCCAGGGCACAGTTAATGGCCAAGTGGGAGCATGTCGTTATCTGAACCACGTCCCAGCCTGTGTACTAGCAGAGAGGGATGGTGAGCTCAGAATTCAGAATCATCCCTTCTACCCCTGGCCAGGTGCTGCCCACACCAGTCCTTCCTGGAGTACTCTTCCCTCCCCTCTGAGGCTAACTTTGCTCATTTCCAAACATCTTTTAAATGTCACTTCTCCAGGAAGGACTGACACCCACAGACCTACTCTCTAATTGTAATTAATTCCTCATGTCATGATTTGCTATTGGTGTACTACAGTGAGTGTCATGTGGTGGCCCCTCTGTGCTCCTTCCCCTTGTGAAGCATTGCTGCTGTAGTGGGAGAGGGCTCCAATTCTGACTCCGGAGCCTGGCAGGACGGGAAGCCCGTGAGTGGGGGAGCAAGTTCATGTTCCCTTTCCCCCAGACATGCCCTGGTTGATGGATTAGAGGAAAAGCAAGCCCACCCTCTTAGGCTGAGCAGTCCATCTTCCCACTTAACCGAACACCTGCAGCCTTTGGTGACAAGACAACCTGTGTAAACCCCAAAGTGGAGCCAGTTAAGCAGGTGCAAAGCGTATGGTTGAGGATTAATGCTTTTTTCTTTCTCTTTCAGTGGTTGATATCACAGCAAGTATCCTTTTCTTGGTACGGTTCCCTTTAAAGAAAACCCTTCCTAAATAAAAAAAAAATGTGTTATAAACTTGAATCCTACCTATAATGCACACCTTGGGTTTGGGCTTTGCCCCACAGATTACCTGGAGCATCCCTTCAGACCAGTAGCTTCTCCCTGGGTGCTGTGCTCCTCTTCATGCCCCAGCGTCTAGCTCCACACCCAGCCAGCAGCAAGCTCAGGGATTACTGGGGGAATATGTGAACTAGGGGTTTTAGAGCTGGTGGGGATATGCCCGTCCGGCCAGCCTCTGCAGTGTAAGAATGCTGACCTGTGGCCCTTTTAAACTGACCATTTTGCAGTGTCTCTACTTCCTTAACTGGACGTCATTAGATCCCGCAGTTTGAAGATGTTAAATTTGAAGCAGCAAGTCTTTTGTCTGAATTATACTGTCAAGAGGTAAGAACATATGAAGGTTTCTGAAAGCAAACTCCCTCTCCTTGTAGCAAAGCAGAGTGGCAAACTGGGACTCTCAGGAGTGGATTCCCTTCCGGCTTTTAAGACTTCTCACAATTTTCTTATCTCCCACGCCTGGCATGGGGCAGCCATGGGTGATCACTTGCTAACAAAGGCTAGCAGAATCTTTTTCTACTGAGGACTGTTGGAAAACAGCCTTGTTCCTAGGCTAAAGATGATTAGTTCCTGAACAAGTTTATATAGTTTACCTTAAGCTGGTTCCTGATGTCAGGTGTAGCTGAAAATTGCCTTTCCCAGATTTGAGCAGTGACCCCTTTTCACGCCCCTGACCCCTCTCTCTGGTTGCAGAACAGGAAAGACAGCAATTGTTATCAATTTGTTCAGGATTTTGAACTAAAGCTAGTTTCCGTTTAGTTGAGTGGGGAGTTATTTTAAGGTCGATACAAAAACTTCCCAGCCAGTGAGTCTAATAAAATATCTTTTCTTCTTTAATCAAGCACATTGGCAACCCACAAATCCTTTGGTAAGTGTGAACAGGAATGGCCTTCTGGCTCCGCAGCTGCTACATAAGGAATCCAGCTTTTTTCCTCCCCAAACTTCACTGTTTCCTTTCAGAATTCCGTTGATGCAGCAAAACCACTGCTGCGGAAAGCAATCCAGATCTCACAGCAGACCCCGTACTGGCACTGCCGCCTGCTCTTCCAGCTTGCTGTGAGTACTGCGGGCCTGGCCGAGATGCGTGGGTGCCTGTTGGGGGCCGTGACCTTGGGGCACAGCTGCCTCAAGTACAAATAAGCAGACTCTGGGACACACGGGTCTTCCTCAGGCTGCTGTACTGAGCAGATGGGGACACAGGAACGTTTCTTTGACCTGCTCACAAGTCCCCTCCAGACTGTCGCCAGGAGGCGGTACTCCCAGGGTGGGCCTTTTGCTCAGGAGCACCTGGGGTGATTGGTGGGAGTGTCCTTCCCCTGGAGCTGACTTGGGGCCTAGTCTTCATGTTCCCCTCCCTCCTGTTGCTCCCTTTGGCCTGCATTCATCAAAATTTAGGGAGCATTTCTTGCCAGAGGTCCACTCTGTTTTCTGAGAGCTGTGCAGAGATTCCAAGGGACTGCCTATTGGGCAAGAAATGCTGGAGTCAAGCCTTTTCTCCTAGAGCCCACTTTTGGGGCCTGCTGGGGTATAGCCTCACCCTGGGCTCCACACAGCCCCTCTGCCCTCAGCCTCCCTTAAGCTCCTCAGATGTAGGTGGTGCCTGGTCCCTGCACTCTGAGATGCTCAGGTGGTGAGGGGCTCTCTAGGCTGGGCTTTCCTGGCTACAGTGGAGGAGTCTGCAGGCCGGGGGCTGGGTAGACTCCTTCATGAGTAGTGCCTCTTCATCCTGGGGTCTGCGCACACCTCCCCAGCACTGGCCATCCTCTATCCTCTCCTGACCCTGACACAGCCTACCCACCAGGCCACCTCTCACCCACCCTCCCTGATAAAGCCCCATCACCTGCCTGAACACACAGTGGGTACTGGGCTGCAAGTGTCCCCTACTCCCTGGGGGAGCCTTAATGCCAGGAGGATTTGGCTCAGAGGGTCCCCTGCTGAGAAGAGCTCACCTAGCCTGGGCCCCTGCCTTCCCTCCAGGCTTTTTTCTGCCCTACATGTGCACTGTCCTCCTTTTATCCTTCATGTGCTTTTGTGCCTGCTGGCAGAGGAGGAAGCAGGCCAGGCGGTGAGTCACCTGCCTCAGGTCACAGTATTGGTTTGTGCTGTGAGCACGGATCCCAAGGTCCGCAACCAGGGCCCCACAGGTGTCCCTGCCTTTCAGCCTGTCAAGGCTTCTGGGTTTGAAACTCCCATAGGTACTTACCCCTGAAAGAGTCCCTCCTTGTTTGAGGCTCCTCTGGCTGCTCCCCTAGTGACTACTCCCTGAAGGTGACCTGGGAAGCATTCAAACATACTCGCACAGCCTTGGAGGGGTCTGCACCTGTGAGTGTTAACTGCTGGCTGTATGCACCATTAAGCTTAGATGATGTACACTATAAACAAAGCGGAGTTCTGTACCCAAACACTGTTGACGAGATAATATGCTTAATTTAGCTGAAAACTGACACTGAGGCAATTTTGTTGATGTAGGGAGGTTCAGTTTAACTCGCCAGCAATAAGGTCAGGTACTGTAAAGCAAGTGGTTTGGAAATAAGGGTCATTGTTCTTTCTTCTTTTCAGCAACTGCACACACTTGAGAAGGACCTGGTGTCAGCCTGTGACCTCCTGGGTGTGGGGGCCGAGTACGCCCGGGTGGTGGGATCTGAGTACACACGGTAGGCATCCTCTCCCTGGGCCCCTCCTCCTCTTACTTGGAAAGAATTTGGCCATCTTGATCCTGGACAACAAATAGAAATGGCATTTCAGCATGAAACGATGGCCACCCTTATACATAGTAAGAGACATGCAAATTAAGGCAGCACCGAGATGCTGTTGCCCCATCGATTCATGAAGTAAGAAGTTGAGTTGACTGTGAGGGTGAGGGGCAGCTGGTGTTGTCGGCACCATCAGCACTTGCACGTTTCTAGTATCTCTTGAAATAAAAAGGGCTTGTATGATTTAATGGGTTGATCCCCTTCCTGGTGCAGTGCAAGAGTGGTGCTTGTAGAGAGTGTGGGCAGCATGCTTGGCAACCAGTGTCCCCACTCACAGGACACCCAGGAGTTTTTAGATACATAACAGGAGACAGAGTAAGTGGACATTTGTGTAAAAGAAGGGACGTAGGTTCATGTTATGCGTGAAACTGCTTAGACTACGTGGAGGCTAATGCCCTGGGGTTGGGGTCAGGGGTCAGAGGCCACCAGTGCTTCACTGTGTGCCCTCTAAGAGAGCCTCCAGTCTGTCTCTTTTTCCCCTAAAGAGAAGAATCCTCTGTAGTAGGATTCCAGACTCCAGGTAGCAGAGCTCTTATTCTGTTGTGTGAATTGGGATTCTGGAAACACAAAATCTAAGCTTGTCCCATGGGGTTTTTGGGACAGAACAGTCCCTAACTCCATTCTCTAAGCTCTGGACTTGCAAGTGCTCACAGGGGTCCACACAGTTCCCCCCACAGGCTGTCATCCCTCGGCCAACCTGCCCTGGGATGGACACTCACACAGTCTGGTCTGTGTTCCTGGCCCGTCTTATCCTCCTCGTGCTGTGGCCGTCACTGGATTCAGGGTGACACTCATGCCTTGCAGGGCATGGGGATGGCCACACACTGCACATGTTCAGTCACAAGTGTGCTCAAACAGGTCTCTGTACCACTGTGGGCGGGGGACCTGGATGGGCCTCATAGGGCATGGCGCCTACAGGTCACCTGACAGATCTTCTGATCTCGGGCGTATGGCCTAGTGATGTGACAATATGGGAACCTTGACGTGAAGTTCGAGGCCTTAGATTTCAACAGGCAGACAGTAGACCCTAGAGTGTCCACACCATGAGGTAACGACAAGGAATGGCGAGGTGGCTGGGAGTATAGACATCTCTCACTGTGTGACTGGGACCCCCCTCCACCTCAGTCTACTCACCTGGAACGATGCCCATTTGATGGAGTGTCAGCTGCAGCACATGGGGACTCTGCACAGACTGGCGGGACAAAGACTTAGATGTTGAACAAACTGTGACGACAGCCCAACAGCTGGTTCTAAAAGCCTGTCCCAATGCCCGTGCCGTGAGCAGCCCCTAGGCACTGGGGTGAGGCTGGGCTACCCTCCTCTGTCTTTTGGCAGTCTCGTAAACGTTTTAACGTGTTCATTTTATTATTTTTCTTGCTGATGACAGCAGTACGTGCTTGTTTGTTAGAAAGTGCAGAAAGATTTAAGAGAGACAGTAGAAATCTCCTGGCCACGCCACCCTTGAGGGTGGGGACAGTGGGCAATGAGGCTGCTGACATGCCTAGGCTTCCTGAGTTTCATCCCCTTAACCCTCAGGAGAGCCCAAGGGGGCTTGGCTGGTTATAGGCAAGGAAGTGGGGGCACAGAGGGGCCACGGTGAGGTGCACATTTCGGTTCGGACACCTGAGCCTGATTACTTACCCGCCTTCTCTCCTTGCCTCACCCTGTGCTGTCCACAGACGTGGAACCTGTGATCTGCTGTGTCAACGAGAGTAAGGTTATGGTGGATGTGCTGTCCTGTACTCTGCCCCTCTGTGCTTTCTGAGCACATGTTTCTGCTTTCTGAGCTTTTGAACCACATGAGTATCTAAACAGGAAAAAGCTAAAGACAAATAAAATAGAACAAAATAGAGCCCTCTTATAAATAAAACAGACCTAATTGGCCAGGGTCCATTGTCATCCATTTAACTGTCCCAGAGGTGGCTCTTTAGGTTCCTGTGAATGTTGAGATGGCACAGTCATCCCAGGGGTGCCTGAGTCTCCCAGACCTGACTACCCCTCTCTTTTCCAGGGCACTGTTCCTGCTCAGCAAAGGGATGGTAAGTGGAGGCTGGATGGGATGGGACTGGTATGGTGGACGTGAAGCCGGGTCCCCACGAGGTCTACCAAAGCCTCGCCTGCTTGCCATGTTGTGGCCCCTCAGGCGCCCAGACCCTCACGCGTGGCAGGCAGCCAAGAGGGGCAGGCCCATGTCCCCCAGCTGGATTCAGAGGTAAAACTCAGGTTCCAGGTTGTGGGATCTGTGCTGATGGAAGAGCAGCCTGGGTTGGAGCTGCCTAGACCTGGGTTCCAGCCCGGCTATGCACCCTCCCTTCGTGGTGCCAGCAGTCCCACAGCGCGTGGGCAGGTGGGCGGCAGTCCTTTGTACCAGGAGGGTCTCCCAGCACGTGCACCTCTCCCTCCCCAGCTATTGTTGATGGAGCGCAAGTTGCAGGAAGTCCACCCACTACTGACCCTCTGTGGACAGATAGTTGAGAACTGGCAAGGTAACCCCATCCAGAAAGAGTCTCTGCGTGTCTTCTTCCTGGTGCTCCAGGTGACCCACTACTTGGATGCTGGGCAGGTATGTAGTGCCTCTCACCTGAGGGCTGCTGGGGAGGAGGCAGGTGGTGGGTGGGCCTGTAAGCTAAGACATCAGCTCTGCTATTTCCTCCTGTCCCTCACCACTGGGCACGTCTGTCATTCGGGGCTCGATTCCCCCACAGCCCTGTCGTGCTCTGGCATGAGTACTGTGCCTCTGTGGACAGAGGGCACTCCAGGAATGGATCTGTCCCATTTCTGCCCTTATAGCGGGAATAGCTGTGGCCTCACACACATCTATTCAGTGTGTGAATGGTCAAATGACCTTGAGGGCAGTTTGGGAAATCCAAGAAAATACACTGGGGATTCTGGCATGGTGCCTGGCATACAGCAGGTGCTCAAGCAGTGTCCACCACCCCCCAGTTAATGACAGCTTTGTGGGAGTTGAGTAGCGACTAACAAAATCAGCTGTGTTTGAGGCACACACACAAAAAGCCCATAACCCTCATATGGTTGAGGAGCAGCTATACCTGTACGTGGGGGAACATCTCAGCCTTTCGGACAGGTGCTGCCCCACGCACCCTCCCCACCCTGTCACGCTTCCTCGGTTCCCCCACGTGCACCCACCTTTGCTCGTTGGGCCAAGCACTTCAGTCAACACATAGGAGCACAGTGCAAACTCTCACAGGGTGCTGACAGCTGTGGAGATGGCCTGTAGGGCCTCGGAATGGGGCTTCCTGGTGCAGAAAGGCCAGTCTGTATAAACCACGGCACCTGCAGGACTCCGAGTGGCCACTTCACACCCCCCAGGATAACCAGCCGTGTCCTCGTCTCTTGGGGTCACTGCAGGAAGGAGAAAATGTGGCTGGAGCAGGGTCTTTGAACAGGCCTTTCCCAGGCCTTGGTGTTGGGCCCTGCGCTAGGTGGTGGTGGAGCCTCAGTGCCACAGATGACCCTCCTGGCCCTGCCCTGTGCCTTGGGGATGGGCTTCCTGCAAGTGGTGGGTGTGGTAGGAGTTTCCGGGAAGGAAGGGCTGAGGGGCCGATGGGCAGGCAGGACCTGGCTAGCTGCCACCGTGGGGATCTGCCTCCTAAGGGTGGTTGGCACCTAATAGGAGCAGACGGGTGCTCAGGTGTGCATTGCTGTCTGCCTGCTGCAGGTAAAGAGCGTGAAGCCATGCCTGAAGCAGCTGCAGCAGTGCATCCAGACCATCTCCACACTGCACGATGATGAGATCCTGCCCAGCAACCCCGCTGACCTCTTCCACTGGCTGCCCAAGGAGCACATGTGCGTGCTTGTCTACCTGGTGAGTCCCTGGAGGGGCCGGGACCTGGTGGCCCAGGTGAGAGAGGAGAGGGCCCCAGTGACCACCACCATCTGATCTTGTCACCAGGTGACTGTGATGCACTCCATGCAAGCCGGCTACCTAGAGAAGGCACAGAAGTACACAGACAAGGCCCTCATGCAGCTGGAGAAGCTCAAGAGTAAGTCAGACTGTGGGGCTCAGTGGGTCAAGTAGCCCCCTGGTGGGCGGCATGATCACCACCTCCTATGCTGGGCCTGAAGGACCTTTAAAGACTGCAGCACGGGTCCCTGCCCCATGGGTCTTGTTACCCCAGTTGGCAGATGGGGACGATCCAGGTTCGGGCAGAGCAGGCCAGGCCTGGACTGGATCCTTGATCCCCAGGGGGTTGTGTTGTGAGGTGGTTGTGCCGTCTCTGTCCTGTCCCCCTCACTGCGCAAGATAGCCATGAGGGTTAGCGGGACTCCACTGGGGGCTGCTGGGGCGGCAGTGCTCAGTTGAAACAGGTGTTGGCTGCTTTTGCTGTCTATTAACAGTATCGTGATGTGGATTGTGTTCAGGGTGAGGTTGGGATTGGAACTGACTGACAGCAGGTCCTCTGGAGGCCCTGGGTTCTTCCTGGATGCTTGACTAATCCATCCTGTGAGATCAAGGACCTTTGACTAGTAGGAACCCAGGGCCCCACATATCCCTGGCTGGCTTGTGCGCCTGTTAACCTCATTCACTCCCTGTGCCCTTGTCAGTGCTGCTGGGGAAGAGCCTTAGAGCCAGAGAACCAACACCCGCGGGGGCTGCGGTTCTTTCCCTTCAGATGAGTTGGGAAAGTGCTGTCTGGTTCCAATGTGAGGACAGCTGCTTGGGGCAGCCAGAAGCTAGGGTCCCCCCACTGTTGCCTGAGGCCTATCATGTAGTCTCAGTCTCCCAGGCAACTTCAACATTTCTAGAATGTGTTGTGTCCAGAGTGCCCTTGAGCACTCAGCTGGGTTGGGGTGTGGTGAGGATGGAAGACAGATCCCTCCAGAATTTCTTGCTCTTACAATACTCTGGTCACCAAAGCCTGCTATGAGCATGTTTCCTCACCTAGACAGGGAGACCCTCACTTTGAGGGTACTGTGGGCACCGAGCAAGGTGACAGACTGGGTGCTGGGCCAGTGTCCAGCGGAGCAAGTGGGCTCAGACCCAGGTAGCTGAGGGGCCGGTGTGGCCGGAGGGCTCAAAGCCCCTAGGAGGCAGGGGTCAGTGTCTCCTCAGTTGTCTCCTCCGCCCACGCTTCGAATGCTCACCCCTGCCTCTCGCCCCCAGTGCTCGACTGCAGCCCCATTCTGTCCTCCTTCCAAGTAATCCTGCTCGAGCACATCATCATGTGCAGGCTCGTCACAGGACACAAGGCCACAGCGCTGCAGGAGGTGAGGCCACTGGGGGCTGCACACACACAGGGTGGGAAGGCTGAGGGGTAGAGTGGTTTGAGTTAGCTGGGTCTCGGAGAGTGTCATGTGGGAGAATGTAAATATGTCACCAGTGCGTGTCAGCAGGACGTCATCTGTCATATGACTATAACTTGGCAGTCCAGGACCCTGTGTGGACACAACTAATCAGAGGCTTTTACCTAAAAGTTGGCATGCCCAAGGAACATGGGGTCTGGGGTTTTAGGGTCCCCTGACGGCAGTTCTAGCACTACTCCTGCCCTGTGATCCGTAATCCCTTATGCCCACCTTCCTGAAAGGGCACGGGGGCCTTGATAAGGGTGAAGGTACTGTACAGCTGAGACACAAGTTGGAAAGGGAGAAGGTGGGTAATGGACAAGGGTCACCATCCTCAAAGAGGTCAAGGCTGTGCCTAATCCTCACAATGGGCACATCCGCTGGGACTTTGTGCCCAAGTTAGAGTGGGCACAACATGGGCACACCCACCGGCTTTGGGGTCTCCTCAGTGCTGCCAGGACACTGGGTCCCACATTACGGGCCAAGTGATGTCAGACATGCTCTCTCCCGGCAGATCTCCCAGGTCTGTCAGCTGTGCCAGCAATCCCCCCGGCTCTTCTCCAACCACGCAGCACAGCTGCATACACTGCTGGTGAGTGCATGAGGGCTGCCTGCCCCCAGCCCCATCCCTGCGAGTAACCCTCTGACCACTACCCCCGGCAGAATTCAGAACCTTCCCTGTGGACTTCACTCTGACAAGCATGTCATCAAGTCCAAGTTGACTTAGGTCCCGGGAGGCAGGAATAATTAAGCATGCCATCTTTCTCCCTGTTTGTCAGGGTAAAGCTCAGATATAGCTAGCTCAGTAGAGTCACTTGTCAGGCTCGCCTGGGTGCAGCTGTGCAACCCCGGGCAAGCTGCATGTGGCTCTGAGCCCTCAGCATCTTCTTCTTCCAGGGCCTGTATTGTGTCTCTGTCAACTGCATGGACAACGCTGAAGCCCAGTTCACCACAGCTTTGCGGGTAAGGTGCCGGCCCTCGCTTTATGGGGCAGGCAGTGCTTCTCAGTAAGGAGTCAGGCGTGGTCTGTGATGAGGACAACAGCCATACAAAACCATGGTCAGCGGGTGACTCCACAGCATTCAGCCTGATGCCAGCGGTGACAGTGATACACCATTTATCCAGGGCTTTCTATGTCACGTCTTGTGCTGCTCAGCTGCAGACAAGGCCAGCACTTGCAGCACAGCTTAATGAGGGATAGCTGTGGGCAAGGGGGCTCCTGGCTAGCCTGTAGTGGGGCTTCCCCAGCTAACTCAGGGCTGGTGCCATGGCCTGTTCAGCCACTTTTGCTCACGATTCCCAGTCTTCCCGATAGCCTGCCAGGTGGCGTTGACTTGTGTCACAGCTACTTTGGGTCCTGGTCAGCTGGTGCTGCTCACTACAGTGGTGCCAGGACCACCCCACCTTGCCCGCGGCCCTATGGAGGTCTCTTGGACCCTCCTTCCCCATCGCAGTTCCTACACAAGTGGCTGCTGCTTGTCTGGTTCAACATCAAAATTCCCGACAGATGGTGTGTTGTCCCAGGAAGTCCTCCCCACTGGCCAGGGGAGGGGGTGGTGGTGCAGCCAGGACTTGGCCCCAAACCCCGCATGACCCCCAACCGCACGCTGTTCATGCGGTCTCATGACAAACATATTGGAGCATCTTTGCTCAGATCAGATGACCCTCTGGACCTCCTTGGCACCTGCCAGGGGCCTCCAGGTGGAGTTTGTGCTTCCCAGGCACCCTTGGCCTCCTTCACAGCTGCGCTCCCTCAGCCCCATTGGGAATGCTCAGTCCACTCAGCTTGGTCCCTCTCGTGGCCGTTCTTGTCCCCCCAGAAGAACTGGGGATCAGGGTCTGTCCACCACCAGCCGTCAGAAGCATTTCTGGCCTCTAACAGCTTCGGCTTCTTCCAGGCAGGATCCCTGCCTCCCCGAGGATCAGCATACTCCTCTGCTGTGTCAGCACACGGGTCCTGGGGTTACCACCTGTGGCGTAGAGGGAGGGTCCAGCCAGGTCTCAGACCAAGAGACAGCAGAGAATAGACCAAGCTGCGGTGTGTTCTGAGGGCAGGATCAGGGTGGCTGGCTTTTCTTTTCTGTTTCCGGAATTTCCCATAACGTGGGTGATTGTTTTGTAATGAAAAGAACTAACAGTTTTGTTGTCCTTGGGTTTAGGAGGCAAGGGGTGTGTGTTTGGAATGAAAATAATGAGATTCCAAGGTAGCCACTGTGGAGCGTTTGGGTGGCTCTGATGCCGCCAAGCGGCCCCTATGTGACGTGACTGTGCCCAGCCCAGCCCCCTAATGCCCTGTGTCTCTCATTCCAGCTCACCAATCACCAGGAGCTGTGGGCCTTCATTGTGACCAATCTGGCGAGTGTGTATATACGGGAAGGAAATAGACACCAAGAGGTAGTAGGTGACATGCTTCATGTTTGGTATCCTTTGTTTCAACTCTTACTTGGAGGGGGGCGTTGCGGGGAGCGTTGTCCTGGGCACCAGCAAATCTCAGCAGCCCTGGGGTATTTGCCCTCCAACAAGGTGTCCCACGCAGCGGAGCGTAGGCATGGCTGGGGGAAGGCCAAGTCTAGGACAGAAACGTTCCCATAGCCAATTAGCGCTTTTCCCTACTGAACAAGCCAAGCTTTACTGAATCCCTCAGGAAAAAAAACCCAATTTCTACCCTGAGATGTCTGTTCTAGAACGTTGGTGAGGCCTCATGGCTCAGTTATGAGGAGCAACAGCTTGGGCAGCTGTCTGCACTAGGCCCCTAGGTTGTTCTGGTGCCCCAGCCTGCTGAGACGGGGAGGTGGGCCAGAGCTTGACCTCGCAGGATAAGTCCCTCCCACTAGGTTCCCCTTGCAACACCCCCTTATCCCTGCAATCCCCCCCCAAGCCCTGACCCCTCTAGAGTATCTCAGATTCGGCCACTTGTCTCCACCCCTGTGGCCTTCATTTCTTAGTTCAGGCCACTATCACCTCTTGGCTATAAAAAGCCTAGCTGACTTCCCAGGTGATTGGTTGGCTTGAATGCTTTGGGTAGAAAGCCCAGTGCAGGACTTCCCTGGTGGCACAGTGGTTGAGAATCCGCCTGCCGATGCAGGGGACATGGGTTCAATCCCTGGTCCAGGAAGATCCCACATGCCACGGAGCAGCTGAGCCTGTGTTCCACAACTACTGAGCCCACGCGCCTAGAGCCCGTGCTCCGCAACAAGAGAAGCCACAGCATTGAGAAGCCAACGCACCGCAACGAAGAGTAGGCCCCGCTCGACGCAACTAGAGAAAGCCTGCGTGCAGCACCAAAGATGCAACACAGCCAAAAAAATAATTATTTTTTTTAAAACAATTTATTTAAAAAAGAAAGAAAGTCCAGTGCAGCTGCTCCAGTAGTCAGGAAGCACAGTGGGCAGGGTCATAAGGGCCTGGTGTGGCCTTGGTGGTCTCAGAGGAGTTTGGTTCCCTTGTGTCTCCTCCCCACCTCCAGGCCAGTGTCTCCCTCCTGAAGGGACTGTGTGGGTACTGGGTGAAGGCTCAGCCCACTTCAGCCCTCATCCACCAGCACACCCTCCATATGACAGCCAAAGGGCACCTAAGATGTCAGTGATGTTGCAGGTCCTGCCCCTTCTCCCAGCAGGTTGCTTACAGGCATGGGATTTTGGGTACGGGCACATTCCTCAGGAAGTTGCAGGCAGCCCTAGTCAATTTGCTAGCATATCTGGGGCTGAGCTCTCTCATATTTAGAAATGTGGAATTATCCTAACTTGCAGACATTTCTTTCACAGCTGTACAGTTTGTTGGAGAGGATCAATCCAGACCACAGCTTCCCTGTCAGGTAGGCTGCTCCAGGCCCTGAGTTCTACTTTACTAGCTATCTTATGTTTTCTATGCTCTTTGGGGTGGTGTGAGCACCTGTGGGGCCTTAGACTGCTCCATGTACCCCAACACCTCATACACCCCCACCCACTCCCCTTTTGTAAATTTGCTGCTTTCACAAAATCCCCACCAAGGTGTGACGCTCCGCTCTCCCCTCAGCTCGCACTGCCTCCGAGCAGCAGCTTTCTACGTGCGTGGGCTCTTCTCCTTCTTCCAGGGACGCTATAACGAGGCCAAGTGAGTACTGGGAGAGGGCAGGTGGCCTCGTGCCTGGCACCTCCCAGTGTTTCTCTTCCCTCAACAGCATGTGCCCAGGTCCCCTGTCCCTGCCCTTCCCACCCATTGCCCGATGGGGTGGGTGGCCCTCTGCTCAGGGCCTCAAGGCCGCTGCTGCCTTTTCTTCCCCAAAGGCCTCCCGAAGGGGCCTCATCATCTGTTCTTCTCGTGAAGGCGATTTCTGCGGGAAACCCTGAAGATGTCCAATGCAGAGGACCTGAACCGGCTTACAGCCTGCTCCCTTGTGCTCCTGGGCCATATCTTCTATGTGCTGGGAAACCATAGGGTGAGTGTCAGGGGTCAGGCTGAGGGGCATGGGGCCAGGGTGGTGCTTAGTGGGGGGAACCTAGCAAGGAAGTGCCTCCCATTCTGTGCCCCACAATGATCACATCTCACCCCTCACCCACCATTGCTCCATGAGGCTCAGCCAGGACAGAGGCACTCTGGCTCAGACAGCCTGGGCAGGCAGGGCTAGGGGAGCTTTGGATCCCTGGAGGATGCATCTGTGGGGCAGACAGGGCCAGTGTTGGTCATGGGCAGTCATTAGGCAAAGCCCCAGGGCTCAGTGGAGCTAGAGCTGGTCAGGCTGCCCAAAGCTGGCAAGGCTGAGGGCAGGTTCCCTTTCCTGTGTTAATACTTGGGGAGAAGGAGTGTGTCCTCTCAGTCACAATCCCAAGGATTCCATCTCTGCCTATCACACATGGTGTCTTCAGTGCTCTCTGTTTTTACCCTCACCAACAGTGCCCCCCTAGGCCTGGTCCCCACCCATGCCAACTGGTCTCTGGTGGGATCAGTTGACTCCGAGTCTCCCCATCTGGGGGTGTATGTATATCTCACCTGCTCTAACCCATCGACCATACAGGGTCTTTAATTTTTTTTTTTTTAGGGTCTTTAATTTTTTAAAGAAAATATTTGTCAATATAAAATACGGCATGTATTTTATTTCTCATAGAAAGTCTGAGAAGCAAAGGAGAAAGTCATCGTGTGTCTTCTGTCTTCCAGCTCTTTCCATTGCCTGCCTCTGCCCATGCATAGGTTTTGTTTATCAGGCTGTTGTATAATTTTATGTCTGGTCTTTCTCTGCACCACTGTGTTGGAACTTTTTTCTAATGGCAGTGAGTATTTTTAGGTTGCATCAACTCCGTAGTTTAGCCAAATGCACTTCAGCTGTTTTTTTGGGACAGATAGATAGTGCAGGGTACTTGTCTTGGCCCATAAAGTTCTGTCTGATCAAGCCCCAGGGCTTCTGAAGAGTGAGTACTTTTAAGGAGCCTGGTGCGTCCCCTTCCCCACAGTCATGTGGTAAGCATTTGCCAGGCCAACATGCCCTGTAGCTGTGGCCTAAACCCTGTGGGGTATCATCACCCTGAAAGGAGGAGGACCAGTGCTAAGTTCCCCCTTCTGAGTGTAGCTCCACTCCTTCTACAACACCTATCACACTACTCACTGAGCCCAGTGAGGACAGTGGCCTCAGTGTGTATCTGGGGGTTAGGCAGGGACAAGGTGCTCAACGTGAGGCTCCACTGAGTGTAGGCCAACTGCCTTGTGTCTTGGTGGAGTGGCTGTGATTACCTCGTTGCCAGATGGGGAGACTGAAGGCACACAGCCCCAAATTTTAAAAAAATAATAAAAATTTTAAAAAAGGGACTTCCCTGGCAGTCCAGTGGTTAAGACTCCGCTCTTCTATTGCAGGGGGCATGAGTTCGATCCCTGGTCAGGGAACTAAGGTCCCGAATGCCCCACGGCACGGCCAAATACATAAATAAATTTTAAAAATTTTAAAAAGAAAAAGAAAATTGCAACGACCAGCATGCTTTTGTTCCTCACCCAAACTGCAAACCCAGGCTTAGAACCCAGACCTTGTTGGCTCTTTGTTTGTCCAGAAGCCACCTTTAGGATGGGCAGAGCAGCTCTTCAGCTGCAGCTTCTGGTTCATGTTTGGGGCAGTCCCGGAGGAAATTATAGAGCTTATTTGGGAAGCTCTGCTGCTCCCTTTGTGCCTGGGCCCACGTGGGGTAACATGGGGCCACCAAGAGTCCTCAAACCCAGGTCCGGCCTCAAGCAGCTCCAGGCCTCGGGGAGACACTGCCTGCCCCGGGCCTGCCAGGCCAGTGTGTCCTTGGGCTTTACAAGTTTGCGGGTGGTGTCATACAGGACCGCTCTCAGGATCACACCGCTCT